GCTCAGGATCCATGGCTATCTTCAGGCTTGGCAAAACAGAGGCAAATGGGAGCTGACCTGGACCATCCACGTTGTGTATGTGCTGGAGCTGGGATGGTTGCACACACATCACAGCCTCTAGTGTGCAGGAGTCTCCACCTGAATGTGCACTGAGATCCCCTGTTTATTGACCATAGTCTTAGGGGGCCGGGGACTTAGGGGTAGAGACCAGAGGAAGTTCAGTTTCCTGTTTGGATGTTGGAACTGCAATAGGAGATGGTAGTTTGTTGATTTCCAAGCTGGGCTGGAATGGAGGGAGTCTGTCGTCCTGGGCCCTGCCTAGAAGTCAAGGGGAAGTCTAGACATTGGAAGGGTAGCAGACAGCCCAGTCCAGGGCTCCCATTCCTCTGGAACCAGTTGTTGTCTATGGCAAATGGGAGAACAAGAATGGAGAACAGTGATTTTCAACCCGTGTTTCATGGTACACTGGTGTGGCGTGAAAATTTTGAAAGATGATTAAATTATTTTTGAAAGAAGTTCAAAGCACAGTAAGCATATTCTTTTTTTGACTTTTTTTTTTTTTGATCAACATAATTTAAGTGTGCCACAGAAGTATGTAGGTCCAAATGTGCTGGGAGATAACAATGGTGGAAGACCACTGATGTAGTGGGAGGACCGGGCCCTCATGTGAGGTAGACCGGGCACAAATCCAGGCTCAAACACTGCCCCACTGTGGGTCCTGGAACACACCTCTTCATCTTTGTGTGTCTCCGGGCTGCCTCACTGGGTCGTTGGGGCCAAATAAAACATCGCAACAAATGGCATATTTTGTCAGTTCCTCCACTAGGTGGCAGCCTTGCTCTTTGGCTGAGTTTTCAGCACCCAGGGCAGCTGCCCGGCTGTAGCCCCAGGAGAGGCAAGGGAAAATTGGCAAACACGTACCACCCATTGGTCACCCCCACCAGGGACTCGTCAGTCACTCGACCTCAACAGGAGGAACCAAGGACAGACTCCCTGTTGAGTGTACAGCCTGGACATAATTCGGTACTCTTCCTGCAGGGTACCAGGGATGGAACAGAAGCCAACCAGACTTAAGTAATGTAAAATAGTGGGGCTCAGTCTTGCTAGCACATTGGAACCACCTGGCAAACTTCCCAAAACCCAGCACTTCCCCAGAGAGTCTGAGGTAATGGGTGTGGGCGTCAGGCTTTTCCAAGCTCTGCAGATGGGTCTAGTGTGCAGCCAAGGCTGAGAAGCCCTAGAGCGAGGCTGTCAAGTGCTGCACTGTTGACGTTGGAGGCCAGTCCATCGTGGCTGTGAGAGCTGTCCTGTGCATTGGAGGATGTTTAGCAGCGCTCCTTATTTACACCCACTAGGTGCCAGTTATGGAACCAAAAATGTCTCCGGACATGGTCAAATGATCTCTGGTGGACAAAGTCCCCCCCATTTGTGAACCACAGTCTTGCAACATGGATTTCCTAAATTGTAATCCTGACTGCTATATGACCTTGGGCAAATACTTACCCACCTGTGCCTCACTCCCCTCTTGGGTGAAAGGGAAATAATGTTGCCTTCCTGGGTTGTGGGAGGGTATAGAGGGCAATAGGGTCAGGGCCTCATATGTGGTAGGTGATCAATAAATAGTAACCTCTTTTCTCTGTACTCCATCTGGAATGAATGTATTTCAGAATTCTTTTTTTTTGAGACAGAGCCTCAAGCTGTCCCCCTGGGTAGAGTGCCATGGCTTCACTGCTCACAGCAACCTCCAACTCATGGGCTCAAGCGAGTCTCCTGCCTCAGCCTCCCAAGTAGCTGGGACCACAGGCGCCCGCCACAACGCCCGGCTATTTTTTGGTTGTAGCCATTATTATTGTTTGGCGGGTCCGGGCTGGATTCGAACCCGCCACCTTAGGTGTATGTGGCTGGCGCCTTAGCTGCTTGAGCCACAGGCTCTGAGCCTATTTCAGAATTCTAATGGTGACGCTAATTTATGTTTATGAATTTGTTTAGAAAAGGCCTAAGATCTTTTTATACTCTAAGTTTCTCCTCTCAAGAAAGAGAACACAACCCCTTTATAAACTTTGGTGATCACCACCAGCATCTGTGTCCCTTGAGATCTTGTCCCTGACTGCCACACAGGTTCTGACCTCTGCTGGCACAGGTCACCCCCAGACTGCCTCCCCCATCCCTGCTGCTTTCTTGGCCAAGAGCCCAGTGTAGTGATTTTTAACTTTGGCTATGCCTTAGAGTCATAGAATGAGGGAGGAGGACACTTTAATATTCCAGATGCACCTGACCAATTAAATCAGAATCTCTGGAGAAAGAGACAGGTATTGGTATTTCTTGAAGTTCCCCAGTTCATCTCATGGTACAGCCAGGTCTAAGAATCACTGGCTTTTGAGCCACTCACTCATGTCCAAGATACTGCTTCACATTCACAGCAAGAAGCACATTCACACCTAGGATTTTGAAATTGTGCCTGGAAGTTTGGGCCAGGGTGACCTTTCATCCGTCCCTAAGGTTTTTGAAGATGCTCATAACAGCCCTGGCTCCATAGCTTCTTGCCTAGGTGGCTTCTCAATCTCATCTGTAAAACAGTGATGTGCCATTAATACCAGCTCTATCCACCCCCTTCCAACAGAGATGTTAGAAAGATAAAATGAGAATATCAGTAAAAAATGTTCTATAAACTGGGCGGTACCTATGGCTCAAGGAGTAGGGTACTGGCCCCATACACCAAGGGTGGTGGGTTCAAGCCAGGCCCCAGCCAAAACTGCAAAAAAAAAAAAAAAAAAAAAAAGTTATATAAACTAAAGGCATCTACATCCCCAATTTAGCATGTAGTAATGCTAATCAAAACCTTGTTTTGATGTCTAATTTATGTGTCCACTTGACTAGGCTATGGAGTGCCCAGATATTTGGTTAAACATTATTCTGGGTGTTTCTGTGAGCATGTTTTAGAAGAGATTAACATTTAAATTGATAGACTGAGGAGCTTGGCACCTGTAGCTCAGTGGTTAGGGCACCGGCCACATACACCCGGGGCTGGCAGGTTTGAACCCGGCCTGGGCCTGCCAAACAACAATGACAATACAACAACACAACAAAAAAATAGCCAGGGTCTTGGCGGGCCCCTGTAGTCCCAGCTACTTGGGAGGCTGAGGCAAAAGAATCGCTTAAGCTCAAGAGTTTGAGGTTGCTGTGAGCTGTGATGCCACAGAGCACTCTACCAAAGGCAATATACTAAGGCTCTGTCTCAAAAAATAAATTAATTAGTTAATTAATTAATAGACTGAGTAAAGCAGATTACCCTCCCCAGTGTGGGTGAGCCTCATCTAATGAGTTGAAGGCCTAAATAGAAGAAAAGGCTGACCTCTATCAGACTATGAGCTTGTTCACCTTTAGATGGGAACTATACCATTAGCTCTCCTGGTTCTTGGCCCTTCAACTTTTTCTAGAACTGAACCATCGCCTTCCCTGGGTTTCCAGCTTGCTGACCTACCTTGTAGATCTTGCAACTTTTTGACCTCCATAATTGCATGCATCAGTTCCTTATAATAAATCTTTTAAACACACACACACACACACACACACTCTTGCACATTCTATTGGTTCTGTTTCTCTGAAGAAACCTAATGGACTTGATAAAAACAAATGCAGGTGTCTCAGTGCTCGCTCTACATGGGAGTACAGAGTTGAGCTCTGCTCTCTAGGACCAAGTCCAGCGTGGAACCTAGAAGCTGAAGAAGGTAGAAGTAAGGGTCCAGAACCCTCTGTCCTGGAATCCTGGGTCCAGGATTCCTCTGTGGTAACGGGAACCCCATCTAACCTGCCCTGGGCATGCCGTTCCTCAGCTTTCCAGATCCCAGCAATCTGGGCTATCTTAGAGGGACCACGCCCTCCTGGGTTTATAGCCAGGCACAGGGGCCTTCTCCCTGCTTTGCAGGCCTGGGCAGCAAGCTAGCTGGCTTCAGGGTGGGGGTGGGGTGGGGGACAGGTTCCCTTGAACCAAAAGGAACCAAGGCTGTAAACTACCTGCCAGACACACAAACAGGTGTATCGTGTACACAGCAGTCCCAGGATACAAAGGAAGGGCCTGAGGTTCTGAAGACAAAAGAGATGAGGCCTGATACCTGGGGCCTGGCCCAGTGCCTAACAAGGAGCCACTTCTCAGCAAGTGTGGGTTAAGCCCGCAGGAGGTGCGGAGGCTGTGAGTGTGAAGGGGCTGGGGGTGGGGTGTCCCAGACCTGAAGGGCAGAGCTGAAAGCCAGAAGAGACAGCAGTGGTGGTTGACAGCAAGACCCTGGCTGCTATAAAGCGCTTACTTTAAGTTCAAACTCTGTGACTTGATAGTAGTGTCAATGTGGACATTAACACTACTTAAATTCCAAGCCTCAGTTTCCACAGTCTATAAAATGGGGATAACAATGATATCCACTTGAGGTGATGGTGGTAAGAATGAGAAGAGAAGAAATACATGTAGAGCCCTCAGCCTCATGCTTGGAGGAAGCTGGGGGCAGACCTAGAGGTCAGGGCATTGGGCTGAGCTGGCCTCAGTTTCCTGTAGGCTCTTGGGCCCCCTATCAGCTACAACACAGAATGATTTACCCCCAAGATGGGGTGGAGGGAGTAGGGGAGAGGGTTGAAATGACAACTGCAGGATCCTCCTT